CATCTCCAGTGGGATCTCCTTGTCGTGCTAGTAATGTTGGAAACCATCAGGAACGTTCAGGTTAAGTTTTTTTTCTTCCACCTTTCGATGTCCCATGTTCGATGCTCCCTTGCAAAGTCCAAAGGGGCAAGTTTGTGGCGTGGGAGGAGATGTGGCCTTTGAAGACATTTTTTGTTCTTTAAGCCCTTCTTTTGCAGATGCTGTCTTATTGTTATTGGGCTTCAGTTGACATCAGTAAAGGCCTTAGTTTGGGTTGAAGATCGGTCCCATAACCCTCAGGATCTTTTAAGAAAGTAAAAATAACTGTCTTACTGCGTCCAACCTCGGCAGCGATAGCACATAGCAAGTTGGCCTTGCTTGTGCAGTTCAACAATCCTGCCACGTTCAAAGACAGAACGTCTTTTTGCTTTTGCCATCAGGAGGTCATGACAGTGTGAATGCCTGACAGAAAATAGCATGAAAGCCAAATTTTTGTGCAGATTCTGCCTTTTAAAGGCTACGGTCTTAAACTCTTGATCAGCTGATGATCAGCCTGTTTGAGTTGAAATTTTCAATAAATTGCCTACTCTCTATTTTTTTTTATCTCTTGCTCATGTTTCTTCTTTTTGCATTTTGAAGCTCTAATTACAACCTGGTTAAGAACCACCAGTGTGAAATGCGAATACTTGTCATTTTTCCCCCAGTCTTAAGATTTTGTTCAGGACTGTTTGTGTGTGCCTGCACGCCTGTGTGTCTGTGTGACTGCGTGAATGTGAGTGTGACTGTGAATGTGTGTGACTGCATTTAATCAGAGGCTTCGTCCTTCACCTGATCAGCTGATCTTTACAAAGATGGTGCTGTGATGCTCTTAGAGAGACTGCAGATTAGGCAAAATGTCCCGCAGATCATGTCTTAATCGCATCTGAAGTGTTTCATTATAGGACAGCCAGAGGTCTGGAGAATATTAAAGCAGCCAGAGCCTGAGATCAACATGGTTTTGACTTCATGATTGGGTTAAGTAGGCAGTGAAGGGCTGGGTTCTGATGGACGAGATGTTTAATGCTGTGCTGTAAATCTGCAGCACACTCCTCCTCACCTTTCACCATGAAGTAACCACAGGCGGTGCTGCCCAATGTGAACTTAATATTTTCTTGTTATGCTTAAGACACTGTCACTTTACTGCTCCCTCTCCTGAGTTAGAGATGATCAAACCAGACGCATGTAACACTCCTTAGTGCTGAAATTAGTTTCTCCTCATTGCTTGATGCATTGCATCAAGACTGGCTGTATCAGTTTCATGACACGCGGCATATTGCAGATTTTCTTGCTCGAAAGATCTTGAACTATGTATCTGAGATGTTAGTCGTCATACAGGCAGTATCCTCTCCATCTGTGTAGTATGATATTTAGTAAAGGCTCTTTTGTTCATCGGATTGTGCGAATGGTATGTTAGTGACACACAGTTCCAGCATTAGGGTCAGACATATCAATCATCCATCCCTCATCCAGCTTCCCAGTACGCTGAGCTGTGGGCACTTGTGACCGTGGAGGCGCTCAGTCCGTCTTGGAGGCTCTCAGTGCCACGTAAAGACGCTTAGTCCTTCTTGAAGGCTAACACTCATTCATGTTGGCATGGGCTTCTCTTAGAGACACGTCTTTGGGCTGTGGGAGGTAGCCCACACACGAGAAAAATTTAAAATATCCTCCTAAGCATGAATTTTATTTTTTTTTGCACAGCAGTGAGCATGGGCAGAGCTGAGGCTGTGGTTTTGTGCTCTGCCCATTTGGTCCCAGTGTTTCTTTCTCTTTCTCTGTTTCTTTTTTTTTTTTTTACATGATGCTGTTTGCTCCCCCTTTACGAAACGTATAAATGGACTTCAAAGCCCTTTGTATTTTTTTTAAGTGTTCCCTTTGCACTCAATTTTTTAGGAATGTTTATGAATATATCAACATGGAATTGCATAAACCTGAGCCAAATATCGACCTGACCTTCCGTTATTGTAGCTCAGCATAGTGTCCATGATTGGCACCTGGCTCTCTTTCGCCCTCTACAGGAATTGCGGGAATGTGTTTTGCGCTACCTGCTGCAACCAGAAGATGCCAGTGCCGAGCCAGCAGCTGTTTGAGCCGAGCCGCGTCTGCAAGGCCTGCTATGGCAACCTGCAGCTCCTGGAGCTGGAAAAGCCTATCACTGCAAGCTCTAATTAATGGACTCCACCCTCCACCCAGCACCCTGGAGGAGCCGGGAAGGGCGGGACGACGAAGGGGGCGGAGCCTAGCCGAGTATGCATTGCTTGCAGGAGGAGCCGAGGGAGGAAGACCCTCCTGTGCCCATGGAGCCATGGAGTGTGTGCGTGTATGTGCATCAGACTCTTCCCGCCTGCTGGACCGTGTCATGTGATGCACTGGGATGCTGCGTGCGTATCCAGTGCTGCTGGAGCGGGAGGGGTACCGAGATGGGTGAAGCACTTTGAGTAGCTAATTCAGCCTCGGCTGCTTGGGGCTGCATGTGGCAAGAAATGCTGAGATCTGTGGGGTTGTCGCTCTGAGAGAGTTGCCGGGTGGGGGGGGGGGGTGAAGAAAGAGTGCTGTCTGGGGGGGTTATATAGAGTTCTCTCTGGTCTTACCTTCATTTGAGTTTTTTTTCCCTTTAATGTTCCATCAGGAAGTCGTATCCTGGCCTTTTTTTCCCTTCACCTCTCTGGGGTCTGATCAGGTTGTGGGTGGGGCTCTCAGTGGGCGGGGCCCTCAGGGCTGTTCTGAGGGTTATAGTGCTGATTTTACAGTCCTGCCCTGAGCCATGGCTCGAATCCCATTGTTGGTGAAAGGAGGAGGTGGCGACCACAGACTGGCCCCTACAGAATACTTTGTGATGTTTTTAAGTTGGCAAGTGGAAGTTTACTTGTGGGAAATATTCTCTGGGAGTCCATGAATGCTAAGGATCTGGTTCTCCCTCGTTATTCCTCTTCACCACCCCCAAAATATCATCTCTAGTCAGCTTGGACACCATTGGCTGTAGGTGTCAGTGTTCTGCATCAGTGCTGTGGCCGTCAGCTGTCACAAGCCCCCACAGAGGGGAGGCGTCAGGCGCGGGAGGCTAACGTGGGTGCAGCGGCTCAGTTTTCGGGCCATTCAGCCTGCTCACTGCTTCCATGCCACTGGACAGAGAACAGGCGCTGTTTGCTGGCTTGGGCCAGCAAGGTCTTGAGCAGCACCCACCTTACAGGGTGTGCAGCAGAGAAGATCCTTACTAATCTGACAAAAAGACTCCTTCCCCTATAAATAGCCATTTAATGGTCTCTCTCTTGGTTTTGTAAAATAGTTGAATGGATGGAATGATATGTACATATAAAGAATTTAAGAAAGCTATATCTTTAATCAGAGGCACAAACTTTTACGCACCAAAAAGTGTGAGGGAATGGATGGAGGATGGCAGCCTGGGGCTGGCTGAACTTTGCAAGCCATTACGCTGAGAAAACACCTTGTCTTTCTTATTTATTGAGTTTTTTTAAGGGTTTGTCATCCTTACAAAATTGCTGCAGGATAATCATGAATATTGGGGTGTGGGGAGAGCCCCCGTCAAACTCTAAGGAAAAGTACCTCCACTCTACCTGCCGTTTCATCATTTTCAGCTTTGTCATTCACAAGCAGGAATATCTTCCATTTCTGGACATTAAGTATCCGTCTGACATTGTTTAAAATCACCTTTTGCACCAAAGGCAAAGCACATGACCGCTGTGTAACATCAGGACCCAGCACTGTGGGCTGTGTGCGTTTCCCTTTGGATGCGCTCGCCTATCTGACTGCAGGGCAAACAGCGCCCTCTGCTGGGGATGCTTGTGGTAATTTGCTTGGTTGCGTGCAGCAGAAGGGGTATTTTTTTTGGGGGGGGGAGGACTTCTTGTGTTCTGTAGCAATTCCATGCTTTCGCCTCTTGCCTGAGCGTTTACGTGGAGGACGGGATCAGCATGGTCTCAGGGTTCTGGTTTGCGACTCGGAATCTCACTTCCGTGTCTGTGAGTTGTCACCCTACTCCTCTCTTCCAGGCTGTGAAATGTTCTCTGAATCAGATTACTTTGACTTTTTTTTGCACAAATTTAGAAAGTAGTCACTGCCACTAAACTACATCTAATAAAATTACACTGAGTTTAACAGTATTATGATTGAGAAAGGCTGATGGCTTTACTGATGCGTGCGTCTGTCTGTGTGTGTGTGTGTGTGTGTGTGTGTCAGATTGAGNGCGCGCGCGTCTGTCTGAGTGACTGACAGATTGAGGGAGAGTTTCTGTGAGAGGTGCTCTAGAGTGACTGCTGAGCTCTTTGCTATGCTTGGCTGCTCTTGGTTCCTATTATCTGCTGTTAGTTTGTTAATCTCTCTCCCTTTTGCCGCCCCCCTCATTTTCTCGGAGAGTTGCCACAGCCTGTGCGTGCCTGGCCAGCTTTCCGCAGGATGACAGGGAAGATCCACTGTCAAGCAAAAAGGGCTGATTGGGTCTGTGGTAGGGGGCAGAGTCCAGTGCCAAGCTGTCATCACATGGGTCTTGTACACTGGGATCATCTGTGTGCTTCGGGGGATCATCCCACTTTTGTTTTTGCCCCTCCTCCCCCCTTTAGTTCCCACGCGCCCCCTCTTCCTGTTCTTGGTTTGTAATGACCTCATAGCTGTACATAGCTGTTTCCTGTAACATCATCAATATCATCAACAAAAGTGCTCCTTCGCTCAGTTTGAATATTTTGTGTTGGATTTACTTTTGTCGAGCATTACATTTGTTGTAGAGTTAAAGGAAACCAATAAAGTTTGGCATCTGCCCTGCATATGCTGGCCTGTGTGTGGTGTGCAGGTTTTGGCTGTGGGCTGGCTGACACCGGCCTCGCCGATTTTCCCATTGAGCGAGTGGTTCATGCTGAACCTGATCACATTCATCTTATGTGCCATTGCTTCAGAAATGCTTGTGGCATCGGTCTCTGTGTTTAAGTCTCCTGAGTGGAGGTGGAAAAGCCACACATTACAGAAGCCGATTATTCTGGGGTACTTCAATATTTAATCCACTTGTACATTTATTGTAAAAAATATCAAGGTGAGACGACTCTGAAGGTGTCTTGTTAAACAGCAGTATGTATAGTCACTGAGACCAGAAGCAGGTGCCAGGAGAAGAGAAAGGAGGGGAGAAAAGGAGAAAGGAGGGGGGGAGAGGAGAAGGGATGGAGAGGAGGGGAGTAGAGGGGTGGAGAGGAGAGGAGGGGAAGAGAAAGGAGAGGAGGTGCAGGCAGGGCCTGAGGGCCATCCATGCGGCACAGAGGGATATGCAGTGATTTGCACACTTTGATTTTCAGCTGTGGCCACTTGTAAAATTGCACCATAGGAAGCGAGTTACACCCTGAGCACTGCAGAAGAGCGTCAGTGACGGCACACGGCAGCAGACGGGACAGGACCGCAGGCGGCAGGCTGAAGCGGGCCGGAGCTCTCTCCTGTGCCGATAGTGTCTCTCACGTTTATGCTGGATTTGCCTTCTCTTTGCAAAAAAAAAAAAATGTGATTATTTACACACGGTGTGGAAATGAGTTCTTCTTATAAGTTCACTGCGATGTTGAATGATTACTAGCATCACTATATGCAAACAGGCCAGAAGGAGTAAAGGAGTGGTCTGCAGATGAAGCGCGGTTGAACTGTGATGACCTGTGGTGATCATGACATGCGACGTGCCTGTCCGTGCACCTGCCTGCTCCCGGCCGTTTCAGACGGACGACTGATCCCAGACCTGTTGAGGAGAAGGGGCCATAGGGCTTGACACTTGTGCCACGGCAGCTGGGCAGCAACTTGTGGCGCCGTCGGTCAGCTCACCTTGTTGACGGGCGTGAGTGGCGTGCGCACTGAGCCCGTGTGGAGGCGGGTCCTCTCGTCGAAGCCCCGCCCTGGCGAGCGCTCCCGCCGGCTGTCTAGCACACGGCCCGGCGATTTCTCCCGCTCCAGCGGCCTCGCCGGCGACTTGTCGCGCCGGAACTCGGTGCGACCTTCGCGGTAGCGGTGCGGTGTGCTGGGCTCGCGATGCAGACCGGCGCTGTCTACAGACATGGGCCCTGACGCCAGCCGCTTGGAGATATGCTCATTGTAGGAAGGGGGACCCCTCTTGTTTGGACTGCTAGGGACACGACATGGGACCAGTGAGCCGGGGTATGCACCAGCGGTACGCAGTCCTGATCCTGGAGTGCTGTTATCCAGGTTTTCTATGCTACCTGATGAGTTACTATCTGCCTGAGATCAGGTGCGTCATCAGAGAACAGATAGGATGGAAAATCTGCTGGATACTGACATTCCAGGATCACGGTTGCTCACCTATTGGATACACAAATTACTTCTCATTTGTTTTATAAGGAACACTGGGGGGCAGTATTACACCAAACCTGTCCCCACACGGACAGATTTCAAATGGCCTAACGCGAAATCCCCCTTAAGATCATTATTGATACTCACCTTCGGCTGGAGCTGCTCCGCTGCAGTTCCCTGGACTCGCGCACCAAGCTACCCTTGCAGCAGATCACCCGCAGCTTGTTCTGGTAGGAGGAGGCCAGGTAGATGGCCCCTGAGGAGATGGCCGGGCCCAGGTAGCGAGGATTGGGGACGTCCAGGTGCACATGGGCCAGCGAGCTGAAGCACACGCACACGCACGGGCGTCACATGGGAAACGGGAAGGAGCCTAATGACGGTCAAACATTCAGGGGTTACGGTCATCATGTGGTATAATCCCAGTGTGGGACCTTACCCAACACCATTGTGTCCCTGTACTTCGAAGACATCCAAGGAGTTGAAGTAGGTCACAAACAGATAGGGCTCCCTGAAGGCTGGGCAGAGGGACACACCCAAGTTATTCCTAAATGAGCAGCTCCTGAAAGAGCACGCGGGTGTATGCGGGTGGTAGGGTGACCACCTAATCCATGTCAGGGGGACACTGAGCTAGAACAGGGTTTGTAAGCTACCATTTCAATCAACAGGACCTGGATTTTTGCTGTGTGCTGATTGGTCAGTCTCCTATAATCATGCATGTGTCACTAATGTTAATGTGAAACAGCTGGATGAGTCTTTCTATCAAGGAAACAAACCAGTAAAAGCACAATAAGAATTGAAACATGCAACTAAGTATATGAGTCTTTCAGTTTAAAATCAGTTTGTAAAACCTGAAGTAGCTCACAGTGTCCCCCTCCCGACATGGATTAGGTAGGCACCCTAGGGGGTGCTGGTCATCGCTCACCGAAAGCCTGGGGCAGTCGGCTCCACTTCATGTCTTCTGAGCGGCTTCTCCGGCCAATGACATCGACGAATGTGCCAAACTCTGAGCCGAGAAAGAGAAGAGCCTCAGCAGCCGGCCGACCAAACTCACAGGGCTCAGTGTGAGCACCCTTCCTGGGCTGGACAGCATCCTGCCGACCAAACTCACAGGGCTCAGTGTGAGCACCCTTCCCGGGCTGGACAGCATCCTGCCGACCAAACTCACAGGGCTCAGTGTGAGCACCCTTCCCGGGCTGGACAGGATAAGCCTTACCTGCTGTCTGCACTCAATATACATTTACATTCTACATTCACATATTTAACAGACACCTTTGTCCAAAGCCACATATAACTGAAGCCCCCTTGGCCATCAGTCAGTCAAGGGCTCAACTATGAGTTTCTAGTAACAGAAATCCCAACCTACATAGCTACATACACAGGCCCTGGAACTCAAGAATTTTTGCTACTGGCCAACTGGGTTGGTTTAGTAGAAATACGGTCTGACGTAGTTTTTTTTTACTGGCCAGTAGGCTAGTGTTCTGTGTTTTGTACTCACCCATCTTCTAAATTACTGACCTCAAGAGAGTTGGCAAACTTAATTTCCAGCCCGAATGTACATGGCATGAATTTAGCTTGGCTTAGTATTACATCTTTTACAATCATTTTCACACTTGTCTCAATTCCATGTCCACTTTACAAAATGCACCCAAGCACATCAGTTATGCTTTGGTGAAAAATGCACCTCAACCAGCAAAATATTTCATACTTCATCCAAAAGTGATTCATGTCGCCATGACTAAAGCATACGTTCTCTCCCATCAGACTACTGTGTCACTCACTGTGCAATCAACTAAAGAACATAAATTGAAGCACTGCAAAATATATGTTTCAGTGTCCTCTATTCTTGCATTGCAAATTAATAGCGGAAAAATCCCTTCAGCAACAACTACATCAATTTTTCCTGCACACCTGCACATTTCAATGCAAATATGACCATTTTGTATACATGGTAACAAAGCTGCAAACTAAAAAACTGAATAAACCTTTACTAAAATCAGAATAATCTATCTGATTTGAAAGGTATGTATAGTTTAATTTGTCAAAATGCAGCATATTTCAATTTACAGTGCAGTAAAATTTCATTGAAATTCACTGAAAGTTAACTGTTTTGAACAGATTATCTAAACGTCTGAAAATTGTTGCTGGTGTTGAACATCGATAGACAGGTATTCATGGATTTTGGAAGAAGTGGTGACAGTGTATTTTATCAAAGCAATGCAAAAGGATACGCCGTTTAGTTCAGAAAGCCTGGCATTGAGACAAGAATGAAAACAAATGTAAAGAACTGTAAAAGACCAAGTGTTACATAATGTAGGTAGAATGACAGTGGCTATTCTGTGGAGAAACAGGATTGATTGTGTCAGAAAGCTGCCTAATTGGTGCAATGAATGGCAAGATATTGCACTGAGGACTGGAGACAGACACAGGCAAGAGTACGTCAGCTCTCATGGTATATCCACCGAATGCAGACATTCAGCAATCATTGGAAAGCTGGGTCCATGCAGCCAGACAAAGCCCAAGAGAAGAAACAGTGCAGGTTATTTCTGGAATTCTAGCTGCAGCTTCATATCAGCTCCAGCTGAAGCGACAGCAAAACTGGAATCTGACCGTGGAAACAGAGAAGATACTCCTCCTTCTGTGGACTGCTGCTGATCTGCATGATGGACACAGGAAAGCTATGCGAGGCAGCCGCAATGACAGCTGAGCTCAGGGACGTGTCATTCTTGTCCAGGAACTCTGTCAGCGAGAGACGCATACAGTCACAAATCACTGGCCAAACACTTGCTCTCTGCACGATGTCTCTGCACCGTACAGCTACTTTGTTTTGACTATACAATGGTTGCTGATAGTGAAACCACTAAGGACCACCAACTGAATGATTGGTTAGTGTCTGCACCAATCAGGAGGTAGTACCTTCTAGCACGTACTGCTTCATCTCAATCTCATAGAACTTGTTGGTCCCAATAATGATGCTGTAGGTGGTGAAGTGAATACAGCTGCATGGCTCCAAGGTCTCAATCTCCTGAGAATCAGAAAGACAGCAGGGGACATGTGGCTGAAGTCAGCAGGTACCCAGTGCACTGACAGATATGGATCAGAAGCCTCAATATCTGCAGGTCCCAATAACTGGTACAGTAAAGGGGACTATTGGGGGTGGTGGGAATGTCACCTCCCACAGTGAGCTGATGCTGCCTGTGCTTCAGCCGGCTGGCCCTGGGCTTCACAGAGCAGAGGCCTGTGGTTTCAGCTCACCTTCCGGATACAGAATTTGCTGAGGCTGTCGTTGTAGCGCAGGATGATGATCTTGTTGGGCATCGCAGCACAAATGCATGGCCCATTATCAATCTACGAGTGGGAGGCAGCAACAAGGTGTGATGAGACGGGACAGATGGTGGGATTAGAGCATGCCATCGATAATCATCTGGCTCAACCCAACAGGAAGCAATAATCCAATAAAAGCCAGGAAAACTGGGTAGCGACTCCACATTTCGTTACTAGTACTAGTATACATTGGATAGCGTGACATGGAATATTTAATAATAATAATATAATTATAATAATAAATAAAAAATAAGTCATGCAATTTTTCAAATACTGAAATGCACATATTTTGAAACAGGCATCAGAGTCTCTTGGGTATGGCTAGGTGTATGAGTATGTACCGGAGAATGACGAAATGGCAAATATTTCTGCAATTAGACGGCCTACCCTGCCCGCAGCAAAAAGATGGCAGCCTTTGACAGTTTCAAATATGTATGGGGCAAGATCGGACTGGCCCGGAAGATGAGACTGGGACAATGTCTGCTTTAGCCTCTTGATTTCCAGTAGACACAGCGCCCTCTCACTTCCTGGAGGTGAAGCACAGGTGAGATATGCTCTGGTCATATTTTACCTTCAGTCAGTGACTTGGAACCAGGTTAACTGGAATAAATTCCATAGTATCATATATGTAAAGCAAGGATTTTAAACATGAGGTCTCCAGGAAGCGTGTGTATGTTTCATGCAGTCATTAGTACCACACTGACCCGTGATCATCAACAGCTTATCATGCTCTTTCAGGATGTGGATCTGAAAGACAGAGCCCAGGCCTGGGATGTGGACCAGAGAGTTCTTGATGATGTTCAGGGCATACAGACCTTCCTCAGAGCCAACTAGCACCACCTGTGGTGGAGGAAGAGGGAACAGGTGAAGAGACAGAGAAGGAGTGTCAAGACTAGGGGTGTGCAAAAATATTTTTTTGATGAATTCTTAAAATTCTTAGAATTTTTAAAAGTTTGTCCAATTGAATATTCATTCCATTAAGCATTTTTTTACAGTTTTATAGGTTAATTTCTGCTGTGATTAAACATAAGATTCTACCAGACCGGACTGCAACTCAGATTTTGGTGCCACTTAGACACCTGGAGCCCATTCCAGAAGCTGTGGGCACACAGCAGAAAACAACCCAGGACAGGGCTTTTTATATTATTATGATGTTGAAATTATTTTAAAATGATGTAAACAGAAAATGTTTTTAGTGTTCAGGAAAGATGTATTCAATAAAAGTTTGCCCAGTTACAGATATTTATGGCTTGATTTTTTTTGTAGGTACTGTATATGGTATTTCATATCTCATTCTTATCAAACTGATATTGATTCGGAGTCAAATCAAATCCAACTGAATCGAATCAAATCAGGGCATCTGTGCCAATACCCAACCTTACTTAGTCAATATCACATTACAGAGAACTTCTCTCAGCAATGAGCCTGTTTTTATTTTCTTGTAACATATAGGTAATATACAGCACTGAACCCCCGATGGTCCAAAACCAGGTAGTTAGCTTACATGCACGCATCAGTACCCTGGTCATGTGACACACATCTGCCTGAAACTCCGCCAGCTAGCAGGTGAACCCCCTGCTCCAGAAGCAGGTAACCCAGGTGTTAGGTGACGCAGACACTGGTTCTTCTGAACCAAGCCTGTGTACTTGGATATATTACGATGGTCCCAGGTGGACCTGTGCACCACTGCACTGCCAAGATTGTTCATCACAGATGCGGGCGCAGGGATTGCGATACTGAGCCCAAGGCCAGTGTTGCCGCTCTATGTCTGCAGGGGCTGTACGAGCGTGACGCGAGACTGTGCAGGCTGCATCAAGCCACAGGACCCTTGGCACACCAGGGATAGTCAGTTATGAATCTGATCATGTTTTCCTCTGGCAGGGATGCAAGGCTCACAGAATACCACATGACAGCCACCATTATAAAACAAAACAAATGGTCTTTATTTTGTCCTGCTCTGGTTAATTAGCCATCTGCTAAACAGCACACTGATTAATGCACAAATCACACACCTGTGCGGGTCCTCGTTATGCTAATGAAAAAGCAGACCTGAAATGCTCACAGTTCACCCTGACCTGGAGCAATTAACCCAGATGTAACTGCTAGACTGTTGCCATGTCAACAGCATGCCACCTGAAACTTTTTTTTTTTGTTACCATTTCATACACTGGCTCTAATTTCATACCACAGATAACAAACAAGCTACCAGATTCTGCAATGTGGATATTAGTTTTTCCTTTTCCAGCTCTAAATGCAAACATGCCTGAGTGTCTATACCAATGTCCAGGTCTGCCAACTGAGTGTCACGCATCTGGAGTGACAGTCACGCTTTCAGACTCTCACACTCATTCAAGAAATCTCACAGCAAATCTATATAATTCCACTGTAAACCTAACATCAGCTACATCATAAGTGTTGGGGTACTTTGCAAACCCTACAGACTGTTTACAGTATAATAAAACTGTTAATTACATGTAAATGCGTGTGCAGAGTGAAGTGCTGGTGGCAGATTGACGTTCACTGCTTTGCCACACCCTGTTCAGATACTGATGCTGAAGGAGAATCCGGCCAAAGATGATAGGCCCAGCAGCGGTGTGCTCTGCCCCCCCCCCCCCTATTACAGAACCACCCACAGCGGTGAAACATGGACTAAAATCCCAGCTGCCAGTGCTCTGGTGGCTGCTCCTACTGCCACTGTGTCTGTGCTGCTGTTCGGACAGCATCCCCGGCCGCAGTGAGCCAGGTCATGCACGTCAAACAGCATCAGAGCCCAGAACATACCTGGTCAGTGAGTGGCAGGGTGCAGTTAATATCCAGTCGATCGTCTCCCTCTAGCTTCAGCAGAGAGTTGCCCAGGAGCTTCTATAAGTGATGTTCAAAAAGAAAGAATAATCTTTGTGTGTTCTGACTGAAAACTGACAAATTCTCGGCCATGATGCAACTTTAGAATAACAGAAATAAAACACAATCAATACCTTAGTGCAACACTTTATTTCACTTTACTGTTCAGCTGTACATAAGAGTTCTTTACCAAATCCCCAGGATTTAAGCCAACATTTTCCAGCATTTACCAAGCTACCTGCAGCTCTAAACTACACTATGTATACGACGTGCTGCTTGACGGCCTTGACCAAAACTGGCCTATGATTCTTCACATCAGACACAAAGCAGACAGGAAGTTACACAGGAAGTCACCTCAACGCAACACTCCCAGAGGAGGCACAGGTCAGTGGAAAGGTGAGACAAACAGATTAGAGGGCTGCACGGGAATAGGGAAAGTGGAAATACTGGAGATATCTGCAGTAATCTGCAGGAAAGGGGAAAAATATATATTTCCGTGGTAAAAGTGTGAATGGAGATGATCTTTACGGTTTTCTTGCAGGGATGGTAACACTGTGGTAATGGTAATGAAATTGCGTGGATATGCATATTCTTATATCTCCTAGAATAATGACAAGGCCTTGTGTTCTGTTAAATTAGTTGTTCTCACCCCAACACCACCTAGTGGCCGTGTCAAGCGAGTAATTTAATAATGAATAATAAAGGCAAATATGAGCATGCTTAATTTTAGTGTTGGTGTGTTAGTGACGTGGTAAATGGTGGGGATGGTTTTGGTGCACATTGGGACAGGGTGGGGACAGTATTGCTGCATGTGGGGATGGGTGAGGACAGAGTTGGTGCACGTGGGGATGGGTGAGGACAGAGTTGGTGCACATGGGGATGGGTGAGGACGGAGTTGGTGCACGTGAGGATGGGTGAGGACGGAGTTGGTGCACATGGGGATGGGTGAGGACGGAGTTGGTGCACGTGAGGATGGGTGAGGACGGAGTTGGTGCA